GTAGTCGAGTACGATCCACTAGCGAAATATAAACCATTTTTATAGCATTTTACACAGTTCTTCGATCTCAAAAGCTTGTTAAAAAATTACATTATTTGGAATTTTGCGTTTTTGCTTAAAATCTATGAAAAACTACCGTAACGGTCGAAGTTTTCACATTTTCAAATTGTTTAAAAATATTTTTATCAGTTTCTGGCTCACTAAAATTACAAAAAGCCATAAAATTACATATATTATCAACAGGCAAGGGAGGCGAAAAATCAACATTTGCTCCCCCGCTAAGAGTCAAGTACCAAAAATTCGACCTCAAAATCTATTTCCTGCGCTTAAAATGGGTAAAACCATAAGCCGAAATGTCGGGATCCATGGGATTTTCAATGCCTTTCAGCATAGCGCGGGTCGGAATGAGGAATGAGGGGACAAACAAGGGATTAGAGGGCGGAGGGGGGGAGGGGCACTGCCATTCCATCCTATGAACACAGCCAGAGAGAGAGAGGGGGAAGAGGATGCCATGTTCAGATCTAATTTCACACACACACAGCAGCGGCGGTCAAAAGGGTATGGAAGGAGGATATGGAAGGGTAGAGACTGGATTAAAAGGGTTCTCCAATGCTACAATCAAATTCCAACGTATAGCTCTTCTAGCTCATAGTTTCCAGCAGCCAAAAGGCATTCAAAACGCTTGAAAAGCTGCAAAATACCTCAAAAATCAGTCGATACTGGTTGATATGAAACAAATTCTTTGCTGCTTGCTCTGATACTGGTTTGTTAGCGTGAGTAGCAATTTTTAGCCAAAAAAACCTTCACGCTCTTTGTCGCTGGTGCCCGTTGAATTTAAACCCCTAAAACTGTCATAAAATGGTGTAAATTCGAACCAAATTCACGGCATTTTTGCTAAATAATGAAAAATACATGAAGACCCAGCTAAAAACTCGAGAATCCAGCAAGAACCGCAATCTTTCACACTATTTTGGAAGCCGAGCGTTGCAATCGGTGGAGAAGCTGTGGATTCGCCTAAAGGGAAGTCGAACTGCTAGAAAAACTAGCAAGATTCAACCCGAAAAATTCGAAAACCCCATCGAAAAATCCCGAAATTCGAACCAACCGACGCAAAGCTCGAGTTGGCAACGTTATTTTGGTCTAAAATCACGGCGAAAACGGCTAAAAACATTTTTTGAACACATTTAACGCTAAAATTAATCAACCCACCTAAAAGAACTAACCTATAAACATCAGTACACAACAAACAACACCCCTTCCAACCACCCCACAACCTCTCGAAAAGCCCCGCTGAAATCCAATGCTCGAACTCGGCACGGCAGAAAAACGAGTTTCACCCAAACAAGAGGGGCTCTGCTGAAGCTCTCTATCTCCCCCTCTGCCCCGAGTTTTCGTCGACTCGTTTTGGGTGTGGGTTGTTTTGGGGGAGGGGGGAGAAGCCTTGGCCCTCCACAGCCCCCCCCCCCCCCCTTCCTCGAATCCATCGATCCATCCGAGAAGGCCCCCAAAAAGGACCATTTGTTGCAATTTTCAGATGGATGCGGGAGTGGGAAAGAAGAGAAAAAAGAAGGGGACAACCCTCTACTAACAAATATTGGCAAACAAATGGGCAGGGCATTATTTAGGGCCCGTAGAATCCTAAAAAGCGCAAAAAGGTAACTAAAACGATATTTCTAGGCAAAAATACCAAAAATTAAGCAAAAATCCTAAAAAATAGCGATCGTAGAAAACCGCAAATTGGCCGGACCGGGAATTATTTAGTTGTTTTTTTTAACGAAGTGAACAAAGTTCTTTATTTTTAGGTTTAGAAGCCTAAAATTATGTAAAAATTCGTGAAAACAACGAAGTAGAAGCCGAAATACCCAAAAACTAAATCCTACCGAGAACAGACCGAGTACCAGGGTATTTTAGGGCCTAGAACGCCTCAATACAACCATATTTCTTTACCAAAAGTTAAAATTACGTAAAAATCTCAAAAATAAGGGGAATTCAAGAAAAAAACGCCCATTTTAAACACTCAAAAATCCAAAATCAAATGAAAAAATATAACGCAAACCATTAAAAGCCCCGTCTCTCGAGACCTTGAAACCTACGCCTAAAAAATCGGCATTTCCTGAAAAATACCTTACAAAGCCTCAAAATACCCGTTTTTGGCCGAAAATAGATAGTGAAAAGCGTGTACAACCCCCGCATGCCGAATGAATGAATCGGATGAAAATCCATGAATGACAGATTTCAGCCAGAGAAAGAGAGAGAGAGAGAGAGAGAGAGAGCGCGAGAGAGAGAGGAGAACATGATTGAAGATGAATTCTAAAATACATCCCCCACTACACCCCCGATCCATCATCATTACTACACTCTGGGGAAAAACTATAGAATCACTGGTTTTTTGCGCATAACTTTATTTCTAACTTAGCAACCGTGCTGATATTTTTAGCCTAGCTACTATTTAGCATCAGTAAACAGGGTGCAAAGTTTCGAGACGATCGAAATAGTAGAACATACTCGACGAGAAAATGGCCGAGAAAATGTTGTGGAAAAACTATAGAATCATTTTCTAATTTAGGAATTTCTGGTGTTTTAAGGCAGTCTCTCTTACCAGTCTTGGCGGGAATTTGCTAATTGAGGCCAGTTCTATAATGCATCGTGATCGGTTTGACGCTGGCTGCTCTTAGGAATTTTCTCTGAAAATCGATTTTAACAAAGGATTTCATATTTTTCGTGGATTGAACCACTAAAACAATGTGTTCTAAAAACTTCAGGTATACCATCAGAAAGAGCGTTTTTTGGCGCACATTTTGGTATCCAAGAAATGACCAAGCATACCCCTCCTGACGTTACGTCCGTTTTTAGCCTCGGTCTCACACCGCCCCTCACCCCCGTTTCTTCCGTCGATTTAACAAAGGAGGCGCGGTGTGGGACCTTTAGCTGGTCATATTATCGTCATGACGGGGTTGCCGGACACGCTTGATATACCAAAATATGCGCCAGAAAACGCTCTTTCTGATGATATACCTGAAGTTTTTAGAACACATTGTTTTAGTGGTTCAATCCACGAAAAATATGAAATCCTTTGTTAAAATCGATTTTCAGAGAAAATTCCTAAGAGCAGCCAGCGTCAAACCGATCACGATGCATTATAGAACTGGCCTCAATTAGCAAATTCCCGCCAAGACTGGTAAGAGAGACTGCCTTAAAACACCAGAAATTCCTAAATTAGAAAATGATTCTATAGTTTTTCCACAACATTTTCTCGGCCATTTTCTCGTCGAGTATGTTCTACTATTTCGATCGTCTCGAAACTTTGCACCCTGTTTACTGATGCTAAATAGTAGCTAGGCTAAAAATATCAGCACGGTTGCTAAGTTAGAAATAAAGTTATGCGCAAAAAACGAGTGATTCTATAGTTTTTCCCCAGAGTGTATATGGCAAGGGCCTCTCTCTATTCCCCCCATTTCATCGGTCATTTATAGGCAATAAACGGGCGGAAATGGGCGAGGATTATTTGGAAATCCACTCTCACCACCGCTTCAGAGCCAGCACCACGTCAAAACTACTAAAAAAAGGGTGGCTGGCAAAACAGGAACGACAGCGTAAAATAACCCCTTCTAGGAGATTCCGAAAACGAATAAAGTGAAAAATGTGTGTAGATCAACGTAAACTCCTAAGAATTCCGGTACTGGACTGTTAGCGCGGTGTTTCGCGGGGAAACCAAATTTTTCTCAGTAATTTCGTGGCGCCATGCATGATGACAATCACGCATCGAAACCATTTTCATAGCATTTTACACCATTTTTAGAAATAAAAAGTGTCTAAAAACTATAAAAATTTTCCAAAATTTGGACTTTTAGGTCCAAACGCATGGGCAAAAAGAGCCAACATTTCCGAATTTCTAAAAGTTTTCCTAGCTTTCTAGCAATCAACACTGCAGCAATTTGCAGAAAAAAACAAAAATTTGTCCCCTTCCCCGCTAACAGTCTAGTACCAAAAACCTGATAGCCAAAAAACAGCGCCAGAATTCCACCCCTCCGTTTCGATCGCCAAAACACGGAGCGCGGCCCTCTGAAATTCCGGCTCTCCTCTGGAATTCAACCCGCAAAAAGCGGCTTTGCCCCGAGGCCCGCGCGATTCGTCGGAGCCATTTTCATTTTGGATGAAATGGGTGGGGTAAAGGGGGAGGGTAAAGGGGGGAGGTAGAAGCCAATATATGTCCATTCCAACCACCACCACACACAATCTCCGCCTCGGGGCAATACACCATTCCTAAATTGTCTCCCCCAGTCTTCGTCTTACTATTCAGTGCATAGAAAATGATGAGAAAATGAAAAATGGCCAAATGTACCAAGTCTTTAGAAAATTTGGAGCTTGGACATTAACGGGGGGGAGAAATAAATCTTTCCTATAATCCCAGAAACGCCTAGTAACTTAATAGAAGTATTTTTAAAGTGTTTTTAGTAATTTTAATTATATTTCAAGGTAAAACATCAACAACTAGGTAAAAAAATTAGGAAAAAGCTTTTTTAGGAATTTCAGTGGAAAAACGGCCATTTTTAGTCGAAAAATCTAGATTTTTCGTAATCGAAATTTGGAAGGTTGCGCTTAGGAATAGCAAAAAAATAATTTAGAAACACGCGCCTCATTATATTGGCAGCATTTTATACTCAGAAAAACGTTTGCCCGCCCCCCGATAATGCACCAGAAAAAAAACATCAAAATTTAGCGAAGGGAATAAAACTGGAAAAACAGGGAAAAAATAAAATCTCGCCAATTCTTTAAAATTTAATAAGACAATTTACCGGAAATAACTATTTATTCTGAACGAAACGACAACCAAAAGATACCAAAAGAAAGCAGAGATCAACGCGTGCAAAACCGGGAATTCTGATAATTCTGATAAATGCACAATAACATTATTCTAAACCACGGCTCTCAAGCGCCAAAACAAAATAAATGCTACAAACAACTAGGGGAAATTCTCTATTTTCTGGCTATTTTGGCTATTTGTTTTGGGATCTTGGAATCTTGGTGGCCTGTGCCATGATCTGTCTCAATTCATTCGCATCTTCCTCCTCCTCACTATGGCCCTCCGTTCCATCCGCTGTGCTGCTGCTGGTGGCTAAATAAAATCAATATATAATAATAATAATAATTGGATCTTTTGCATTATCGGGGGGAACCAGCTTTTTCTAAGGATCTTATTTTTGTTTCTAAAGTGTTTTTTACTATTGCTAACGTAAAAACTAATTAAAAAATACAAAAAAATCGAACTTTTCACCAAAAAAGGCCGATTTTCGACAACAAATTCAGTTAAAATGATTTTGTAAGTTTTTTAGCTTGCTTTTCCGATTAAAATATAGTTAAATTTTCCCTAAAACTATTAAAACACTTTCTATTACGTAAACGCCATTTCTGGATTTAGAGGAAAATTTCACCCCCCCCCCCCGCTTCGATAATGCAAAAGCTCCAAAAGAATACGTAAAATGCAAACCTTGAGCTGCTCCGCGGGTGGCCACGGTCACTTCCCGTTCGAGTTCCAACTTCCGTTTTGCCAATCTTTCCATGCCCTCCTCCACCGTATCTACAAACACAAAATATTGATGAGAGTGAGAAGAAGCCAAACATTTGGAAACAAGCCGAACAACATGCACTGGCTTCTTCTGACCCAGGCGATGGCAACGATCTTCGGCCTGCAAAATCAGGGGTTATTCGGTACTTTTCCATCATCGGGGGGGTGTTTTGTCACAGCACCGTTGTTACTACTTTTTTTAGCAAAATCTAGCTAAATTTCGAGCAGAAAATACTCTAAAAACTTTCAAAAAATTGAAATCACAAGATTTTTGCCAAAAATCTATATTTTTGTATTTTGCACCATTTTTTCTAAAGTTTTCGTTTAGGGACCGTAAAAGCTGCTAGGAAATAGCATGTAACCCTTCCTCTATTTAAATTAGTCAATTTGGATCCCCCGGAAACTCAACAATTTCAAAAACCTTTTTAAAAAAGAGTAAAAAATTTAAATTAAAATTTAAAAACGAATAGATTGAAAAAACCTGTTTATCATTATAGGGGTTGAAATCGATGTCGTGAATGATGATATGATTGGCGGCCGTCAGATTGATGCCCAATCCACCAGCACGAGTCGACAGAAGGAAGACGAATATCGAGGGATCCTCGTTGAATTCATTGATCAGATCTTGTCTCAAACAAACCCATTTAACATACCCCTTTAATTCCTGGAATACCTATCAAGAACTGGTGTCTGTCCATCCAATCTCAAAAAGGAATGTCCCTTCACTTCCATATACGTTTCCAGAATGTCGAGCATTTCCGTGAATTGGGAGAACACTAGCACTTTCTCGCCCTGAAAAAATCTATTATTTCGGCGCTTTTGCGTTATCGGGGGGCGGGGCGGAGTTTTTCCTATAATTCCATAAATTCCTAATACGACCTATTTTAATAGCGTTTTTAGTGAATTTAGCTATATTTAAAACGGAAACATAATCCAAAAAAAAACTAATTTTTCAAAAACACGAAAATCGGGCATTTGTGGTCCAAAAAACGTGTTTCTTTAACATTTTTTGTATAAATAATCTTAAAGTTTTTACGTTTAGGACTAGTAAAAATTTTGTTTGTAACAGGTTTTAGACTAATTGAAATTTTACTCGAAAATCGCCATTTTTAATGAAAAAAGCTTGAAAATCGCTGATTTTTTATTATTGGATCTGACGGATCCTATCCCCCACCGATAATGCAAAAGCTCCATAATTTCAAATATTTGTTAAAAATTACCAATTCCTTGATGCGCGTCAGCTCCTTATCCAAATATGCGCATTTTCCACTGCAAAGCGCCAGCTGATCGTCCAGTAGGAATTCGGCAGTTGAGGTAAACTAAAATGAACATCTTCTTAAAAGCTAAAAATTATTGGCAAACCTTAGCACAAATGTTGTGAATCTGAAAATCGGAGAGACACGTGAGATCCTGGGCGATATGTTCCGTTTGCTTCTTCTCGTAGCCGCGCTCCTACAAATGGAAATAGAAATATTAAAATAAATAAAATAGAAAACCTTGCGCAGCTTCTTGGCAATTTTCAGGCATTCGTCATCGTCGTAGATAGAACGCGTGAGCAGGGGATGATTGGCCGCCTGAAAAAAATAGAAATTAGGGTATTTAAGGCGCTAGGGATCCGTTTCGTGAGCATTATCGGGGGAGCCCGAAATTTTCCTATGCTTCCATAAATGCCTAGTAACGTAATAGTCAGTGTTTTAATAGTGTTTTTAATGAAACTCAACGATATTTAAACCAGAAAAACTAGTCGGAAACGTCCAAATTTTCCAAAAAGTTAAAATTTTGGCCATTTTCGGCTCGAGAGATCGTCTTTTTCAATTTTTAACAAATTTTGTGAAGTTTCTCCCCCCGATAATGCGAAAGCACTTATAATCCGTGAAAGTACCTGTCTAAGACGCATGAGTCCAGTGTACAGCTCACGCAGTTTGACACCATCCGCACTTTGTAGCTCAGTGGAATCCTAGAATATGGCGAGATTATGAAGAAAGAAAAACCAAACCTCAAGCTGGAAATTGTAGAGCATCACTTGGTGATCCGTCATCTCAATCGTCACAGTTTCCTCGGTTTTTGATGGCAATTCGGTGAGTACCTAAACATTTTTTTTAGAAAACCTAAAAAGCGCACCTGTGACTTGATTCTCCTGAGGACATAGGGCTCAAGGATGGCCTTTGCCTGTTCGATACGATCACGTTGATACATCGCTTGTTCGCTGGAATCCGAGACGCGGCCACCTTGCTGAAAAAATATAGAATTACTTGGTACTTTGGCATTATCGGGGGGGATTGGATTGTATACGGTAGAAATTACTAATGACGTAAACGCCAGAATTGTAACAGCTTTTTAACAAAGTTAAACCTGTTTTTAGCGCATAAACTATCCGAATACTTGACAAAAATTATTTTTGGAACCAAAGCGTTTTTTATTAATACCGACGTTATTTTAAGTAGAAAAACATTCTAAAAACATTTAAGAAATCAAATTTTGGTCCAAAACACGATATTTTATATTTTTATCAAAAATTCCTAAACTTTTTACGCTTAAAATAGTAAAAACAGCTTAAAAAAAACTTTCTGCATTTTCATTGGAATAATTGGATCCTAAGAAAAATAGTTCCCCCCGATAATGCAAAAGTACCATTATCTAGCTATTTGGGAGTTAAAAGACCTAAAAATTGTACCTGTTTGAAATGGGCCAACAATTCCTTCATATCATCGCAATATTTGTCAAAGATGTCCTTCATCACAAAATACATCAGTGAGATCAGTTCGATGAGATTGTTCTGTAGTGGGGTGCCCGTCAGAAGGATCTTTCGATTGCTCTAAAAAAATATGAAAGAAACTTCAAAAATCATTACCTGAATAGTGATCATTTGTTGGAAACGTTGCGAGCCACAATTCTTCAGCATATGGCCCTCATCGTAGATTACGTAGTTTATCTATTAAGTTAATTAACAAAAACAAATCATTTCTATACCTTAAATTGCTTCTGAATCTTCCTATCGTCGGGTTTTGTCGCCAAATTGTAGGTGGTCAACAGGATATCCACGGGAGTCTGATTCCTTTTGACGGATACCCGCATTTGATAGCGCTCATCTTGGGTTCCGTAGTACGTCAACAACTAAAACCATGCCATGCCAAAACCATTTTGAAATATCGGCGGGGGGCTTTTTTCTGGATTCCAGAAATGCCTAGCGATAAAAGTAAGAGTTTAATTAGTGATTTTAGTAAAGTTTAACGATATTTCAAGCGGAAAACTATCAAAAACTCTGAAATTTTCGAATTTGGTCGAAAAATCTATATTCTTGCATCTTTTTCTCAAAATTTGTAGAATTTTTAGGTTTAGACATAGCAAAAAACGTTCAGAAACAACCCTGCTATTTATATTAGAACATTTTGATCCTTAGAAAAAAGTTGCTTCCCTCCTCGATAATGCAAAAGGACCGGTTTATTTCATAGCAAATATACCAAACTCTACCTTCAAAGAAGGACACCATTTCTGAATCTCGGCCATCCAATTCTCAATAGTAGAAGACGGGACGATGATCATCTGAGTGCCCTTCACATTGTTCTCCTTCAACCACGCGCAAAACGCAATGATTTGGATCGTCTTGCCGAGACCCTAAAAGAGAAAATAAATCTAAAAATAACTAAAAAACCATTTCATCAGCCAGAATACAGCTCAACTTCTTCTTGTGCATCATTATCAACCAATTGAGACCTTCGCGCTGATAGCGGTGCAGTTGGTAGCTGAAAATAATGCAAAATTAGCAAAAATAAACTTAGAAAACTACTCTTTATTGAGAAGACTTGGCACCGTGACGTCGTTCTGCACATTCTCGAAGTCTTTGGCCACCTAGAACAATGAAAATTTGAGAAAAAAGCTAAATTGGTTACATTGGTGGAATCAACATTGCAATAATCGAGGATACGCCGTAGTATTCCTCGCTTTCTCAGATCTTCCAAGTATCCCTCGATCATCACACGACCGCCACGCTCTTTCCCGAGTTTTGACGTCTAAAAAGATAATGGATCTAGGGTACTGTCGCATTATCGGGGGAGGAGAGAATTTTCTTTAGCTTTAGCCATTTTTCGACCAAAAATGGAGGATTTTCGACAAAAATTTGAAAATTTTTAGACAGCTGGCTACTTGCGCTATATCAAACTTTACTAAAATACTAGTAAAATGGTGAAAAACGCCTAACTTACGCTCAAAATTCAAGTTTTCGAAGTTTACAGACAGTTTTCGACTTGAATATAGTAAATCACACTAAACATACTATTAAACCGCTTATTGTTACGTTTCTAGGCGTTTCTGGATTTATAAGTAACCCCCGATAACGCAAAAGAACCAAATTTATATCGACCGAAAACCGACCAATTGCTCAAAATCCTGGTACGGCTGATTGGCGATGAGCAGCTCGGACAGCTTCTTCGTGACTTTCGGCATTTCGGAGAGCTGTTCCTCTTTGAGTGAGTTGAAATACATCAGGCATTCTTCGTGCTCTCTTTTCACGCGTTTCTTTGTCGGTTTTCCTTCCTAAAACAAATAAAATAGCACGAAATTCGCTTTAAAAACCTCGGGAGCGCTGAATTCGTCCTCCGAAAACTGGTCGGCCTTTCGGTTGTCGTTCTCATCGTCGGAGAACGTTGGCGCTTCATCCGAGAACTCGTCGTCTAGGGCTTTTTTCTAAATTAAAAGTTAAATCCAAAATAGTCCAGATCTACCGCGTGTTTCTTCCTTTTCACAGCCTGATCGTGCTGCTGGCGTAGCGTCGTCGCCTTCTAAAAACGAAAATAAAAGTTATAAAAGGGTTTTTACGGTGTAATCTGGCTGCCCGCCGTCGTCATCAGATTCCACAATGATCTTACGCTTTTTGGGGATCACCTAAAGATAAATTTAGGTTGGAAAAAGCCGATTTTTACCTTTTTGGCGGGTTTCTTCGTTTGGGAGGTTCCGATGAGGCTCAGATTCTCGAGTCGAGGCTTGCCCATCCATCCTAAAAACCAAAATTAGAAAAAAAGGGATAGAATAAATACCAGTGGGTCCCATGACCATGTCTTGCTCCTCGTCGCTACTGTCCATCAGATAGCGCTGAAGGCGTTGGCAATCCTTCGCCTCGAGAGACATCCAGAAATGCTGAAATACTGAAATGATACTTTTTTATAGTAAAAAGAAAGAAGAAAAATAGGAAAAGGAATTTTACAAAATAAAGGAAAAACAGGAAATCCAGCGTATAACCCGGTTCCACGAAGCGCCTAGTTCCGACATTCCAGTCGCAGGGTCACACCTTAGCGTTCGCAAGAACATATTTTTTGCATTTTCGTGATTTCAAGCCAGAAACAAGCCTATCTTGCGCAGAATTTTGCGCCGATTCCGAATATGTTGACCAAATTGGTGAAATCGCTGTTTCCCGAAAGTTATGTGCGTCCAATGACTGATAAACGCCCACAATGAGCTACTTTCTATGGGTTTCCCGGCTTAAATCGTTCATAACTTTCGCAAATTCGATTCAGAAAATTTGGTATACAGGATCGGAACCAGCGCTAAATTGATGAAATTGCTATAGGCTGGGCGGGTTGGCAGCTTCAGACCCCGGCGACACTAAAAAAAACATTTCCTTGCAGCTTCCGGTTTCCTATTCGTAGTACCGGTCATGATTTGCCGTTTTCTCCAATTTTTATTCTTTTTCCTACTGTATATTGTCTGTGTAAAATCAGCACGTCTTTCCCCTCACTTCCTTTGAAAAACTAACTTTATTAATAACGAAATTTGCGGGCTAATATTTTTCGACATAAACATCCGAGCGTGTCAAGGCGAAATCGGGGGAGGAGAGGGAGAATTGAGGCAATATGGAGAGGGACGAGAATGGATATATCACGGTGTATCGTATTAACAAAACAAATGGAGGAGATAAATGCCACAGTATTACATAAAAAGAAAGAAGAAAAGATGAGACCAAAGATATCATTTTGGCATTGATTAAAATAGGAAGAAAAAGAAGAAGAAATGGAACCTGAGGGAAAAAGACAACAAAATCTGGGTTTTTATAAGGTAGTTTCTAGAAGAGATCAATAAGTTGATCATTCAACATTTCGGCGTCTCCATCATCAGAAGAATCGTCAGATTGGCAGAATGCGGCGCTGAGCTCTTCTCTCTGCTTCTCGGCCGACATCTTCGCCTCGATGTCCAACGCTGGGGCACAGGATAGGGAACGCACCTCGCGATCCTCGTTTTCACACGTCTAAATTGGAAAGATTTTTGTTGAAAAATGGAAAATCTGTACCTGAACAGCGGGTTCACTCCCGCCTCGAATCGATCTGTCACTGCTATCATCGCTATCATCGTCATCACTCGACCAGCCGTCTAAAAATTAGGAAATACTCGGTTCTTTTTCATTATCGGGCGGAGAAAGCTTCAATATAACCTGTGGAAGCGTTTCTATGCTGTTGTTACTATTCCTAAACCTAAAAACGCGCAAAAACCTATTAAAAATACAAAAATATAAATTTTTCTATTAAAAAACTCAATTTTCCGTCAAAATTTGAGACCTTAGACCGTTATTACAGTTTGGAAGTAGTTTTTCCACACTAGGCAATGCTAATAAAATAGTCGCAACGTTTCTAGGCTTTTTTTAACTATCTCTAAACGTAAAAACGTTACAAAAATCTCGAATTTGAGGGGTTTAGATCATTTTTAAAGTGTTGTAAGTAGTTTTTGAAAATAGAAAATCGTAGAAAATACGAAAAACGTACTTCTATTGGTATAATTGACATGATGATTGATGACGACACATCTCTTCTGCACCAAATCATAGTGCAACTCTGATCCCGGGAATACACACCGGTTCGTAGATGTCTAAACCACAATTTAAAGTATTTTCCACACAACATACCCTAAAGTACGAATCCTTGGGCAGCTGAGCGTCAATGGGAATGTGTCGTCGTGCCACCGGCAGATCGAGCCGCGGCTTTTTCGGGCTGGAGGCGCTATCTTCATCTTCTAAAAACAAAAATTTATGTAATTTTATGTTCTTAAAAACCTTGTCCATCCGTAGATGATGATGAAGCCTGTTGCATCTCCTTTTCTTCGATATCTTGCATTATCTAGATTTACAGATAAAAATTTGACCGTCAAAAAACCTGGTAAAATTTCTCGACGGCAATTTCATTCAGCTTCGTTCGATTTGTCGGCTTAGCGGCGGCATCTCCGTTTTTCTCGCTGATTCGAGCGTCTAAATTCACGTTTAAAAGCTACGAAATTTCTCTGCATACCATGTTCATCAATCAATTTCTGAAATGGCCCTCCCAATTCGAGACATATATTTGTAATGATATCATCACAATTGCCCAACAGCTCGATATCCGCCGTGTAGTTCGACAGTGGCTCCCTAAATTAAAATAATCATTTTTCAAAAATTAGAATTCGCCTCGAATTTTAAAACCTTTTTAAATTTAAAAATAGCAAAATCTTTGATAAAATTATAAAAATTTTCATAAAAAACAGCTTTTATTTAAATGAAAGGATGACTCGATTTCCCTTACCGATTAATGAGAATCTGCGGTACATCAGGGCTGACGGCAAATGGGATCAGAGACACCGGGCGCACTTTCAGGGATGAGCCTAAAATAATAAATAACAGAAAATAAAATAAAACAAACCAATAACGACGACCAAATCGACATGATCTTTATCGAGGGCCATTTGCTGATGGAAATCATGGCCCAGATCCTCTCCAAAAAACACGATATCCGGCTTGATGATGCCCCGCTTGCATTTCGTGCATCTGGCAACACGCTTGGCCATCACATCTTCTTTTATCGCTTCTCCGGGGTATTTCATCCCACAAGTTAGGCAGGTCGCTTTCGAGAATGAACCTGAAATTGGATAGTTAGGAGCTTTTGCATTAGTGGGGGGGGGGCTAATTTTTGCTATTAGTCGAAAAATCATCCGTATTTAATGGTGCTTTAGTAAATTTACTGATTTTAAGCCCAAAAACTATCAAAAAAACTGAAAAAAATCGAAATTTTGATCGAAAAATCGTTTTTTTTATTTTCAGTACATTTCCTAATTTTACGCTTGGAAATAGCAAAACGCCGCCTAGTTACTTATAGACAATTCAAAGAGACGGGAAAATGCTGATTCATTTTAAATTTGATTTTTAAACGAAACTATTTTTAATCAGGCAAAAATGCGCTTTAAAAAAATATGAATGTTCTCACCATGACACTCGACAACCCTCGTAATGCCCGTCTGCCTCTCCAGCGTGTCAATATTCTGCGTATAATTCCTCAACAACTGCTCGTTCTCCTCCAAACATTTGATGAATTTATGCGAGACCGATGGCTCGAATTGACCCGGGAAAATCTCCTAAAAATACAAATTTACGTTAAAAATCCTGAATTTTATACCTTGGCAAAATCGAAGAACGGCGCGGGGTTTCGCCTAAAATACGAGATGTCAAACATGGCTGTCGGGTCGGGAAGATCCGGGAAATCCTACAAAATTAGAATTTCAAGAAAAGAAGCGGTATTGCTTACGACATGTAATCGAGCATAGATGCCGTCTTTCGAGCGGAAATCGGGGATTCCACAACTGACAGACACGCCAGCACCCGTTAACATCAAAATCTTCTTCGAACGCCGAAACAGTTCAACGGCATCGGAGAATGTGTTGAAGTCGGGCAGCTTCTTTCTGCGAAAATAGATAAAATTCCGGCACCGGGCTGTTACCGGGGGAACTTTTTAATCCAATTTTTCTTAAAAATAGGGGGTAACGTTTCTAAGCAGTTTTTTGCTATCCTTAAAACTCTATACCTTAAACTTCATCTAAAAAAATACAAAAAATCCGATTTTTTCGACAAAAATAGCCGGTTTTCGACTAAATTTTCTTTCTATGTTTTTTTTGGTTGTTTTTGCACTGGAAATCTAGTTAAATTTTACTATATTAATTAGATCTTCTTGCGTTGTCAGGGATTTCTGGAGCTATAAAAAATCCCCCCCCCCCGATAGTGCCAAAGCCCCTTCAAATTGCCGATACCTGATTGGCGGCTGATCGATCAACTCAGAAAGAATGGACAGAATTGCCCGATCGCCGTATGAAGCCGGGGGAGTCGGCATCCCGGGGAATAACAGCTTCAACACCTAAAACACCCAAAAATAGAAGAAAGTGGACGGAATACGGTACCTGAAGTGGAGAATAGCTGTTCAACATATCTGAGGCCTTGTCGAGGAGATCGTTGTTCTAAAAAAAGCTATAAAAAAACCAAAAATACTCATACCGTATTCCTCCACAAATCCGATCCGGCCGGCGATGGAGAACGCGGTGGGGAGGCTGACGGCCCATTTTCTAGCTCGACAGTTTGATGGAGGGTTTCTAAACATCCGAAATACGGAGATTTTGACGATTTCTCGGCAATTCACCCCAAATTTAGACCTATTTTATCCAATTTCTGGAGCTACCGTACTCCCAAAAGTCGTTTAGTTCGTAGAAAATCACTTTTTAGAGGTTCCGCCGTCCCACCTAATATGAAAAAGTTATTTTTAAGGCTATTTTCTACGTATTTAGCACACAAAAATGTTCTTTTTCCACAAATAATAGCTACCTCGTGACATTTTAATTGTCCCATACCTGTAACAACAATCTGTTCCCCGCTCGGGCATTGTTGAGGCCCATACTCCGGAGTCTCGTCGATTTTGACCATTTTGAGGGGTAGATACGCCTAAATAAAAGTTATACAAAAGAAGGCGATAGACGTCAAACGGAAAGAGACGAAAAACAGGCCCTAGCGTGGCTAAAAGTGACTTTCTCGCCTGAAAACCACGTCAAAACGATAGATCGGGGTCTACCGAACAAAAAGATACCCAAATTAGATAGTTTTTGATATTACTGTATGATTAGGGCCCGGTAGAGGGCCCATTACAATGGTGATATGCAGAAGGAGGGGCGGACGGGAAGGGGAGGGGGAGACTACGGGAGGGTACTATAGATGCGTCCGGGGAGGAATATCGGAAGGAAAGAGTAGCGCGGAGCCAGCTAACAGGAAAAGAGGCACATTACAGTACCTCTATACAGCTAAAATACGATAAATACGCGAAATGGGCTTTGGTGCAGTCGGTAGAGCGGTAGCCTTCTAAACTAAGGGCCAGTGTTCGATTCCCGGGATCTTCGGAGTTTTGCTTTCTGGTTTTTAAGCATTCTTCTGATGTTTTTGTCGTGTAAATGCAAAAAATTATGGATTTCAAGCCAAAACCTGTAAATTCAACGTTTTTCTAACCGATTTATCATCGAGAAACATCTAACAAAACAAAACAACAATGTCAACAACATCAAAGATCAACAATTCGTAACAATAAAGACGAAATGAATTGGATTGTATAACAATAGGCAAGGCTTCTTCTTACTTCTTGACCTTCCGCTTGGCCTGTGGCTTCTCGTCGGGAATATCCATGAACACGGGCTTTCTAAAAAAGAAAAATATTGTTGAGGTATGAAGAGCGGAACCTCTTGCTCTTCAACGACACCGTTCCGCCCATATTTCCGGTGGCCAGCAACTTCTGCCAATCCGCGTCCGACCCTCCGATTGCGTATCTAAAAGGGGAATCAAAAATAAATCGCCGGAATCCCGGTACTTGTGCAATATCGGGGGAGGTAAAACTTCTTCTTAGCTTCTAAAATTAGCTTGAATTTCCTTAACTAGCTGCTTTTCATTATTAAAAACACGCAAAAACCACATTTTTTATCAGAAAAACAAAATTTCCATTTTCGACGCAAAACCTAATTTTCCAACCTTTTCCTATATTTTCTAAAAAATTTTCCTACTGAAAATCTGACTAAATTTCGCCAAGAACCCTATTTAAATAGGTTCTTTTGAAATAAGGACTTGTAAACAGCAAATTTATCAGGAATTTTGAACTTCTAGGACCCCCCGATATTGCACAAGCTCCCTTTCCCCTTCCATACTTGTCAAGTCCCTTGACGGGGATCTCGTTTGCCATTTCTTCTCTATCCTTCTCTTGTCTTTTCTTGATCTCTCCCGATACTCGTTCCAGATCTTCCTCCAGCGTCTGTGCCAACGGCTTCATCTTTTCCATCGTCTCATCCTCGCCCGCTTCGTCCTAAAATCAAACATTTTATAAATCAAGCAAAAAAACGTACGTGATCTCCATCGAGCGCCTTTTGAATGGCTCCCTCACAAATAGTGTCCAGGGCCTGGGAGAGCTTGTGGATAGATTTGTTGTGGACGGCCATTATCTAAAACAACATGCGTAAATCATTAAATGACTAAAAAAATTAGGTTCTTTTGCATTATCGGGTGGACCAACCATTTCCCTAAAAATCCAATTTTTCTAGTAGAAATAGCGGAAGGGTTTCTAGAATTATTTCTACTATTCTTAAACCTAAAAACTTTAAAAATTTGGATTAAAAACGATGCAGAAATATCGATTTTCGAATTTTTAAATTTTTTAAGGTTTAAAATCTTTCGCCACTTGAAATAGAGTTAAATTTCACTAAAAACACTATTAAAATAATTACCATTCAATTATTAGACATTTCTGCATTGCCAGAAAAGTAGGCCCCCCTATATTGCCACAGCACCAGAAATGACCTGATTGAGCGGCAGATCGATCTCCTGAGCCAGCGTATGCCCGTCCTTCCTCTGCATTCCCATGCCAACCAACAGAGCTGCTTGAACCGCCGACAACTTGGCCTAAAATGTCATTATTTTAATTTTTTAAAGTTTTAATAAGGCTATTTTAATTTTTTAAATAATTTGAATTATCTAAACTAAAAAAATCAAATATTTAGATTTCGTTAAATTGTTTAAAAATCTATGATCTAGCCTCAAATTGCGGTAATAAAATTTATATATTTTCCTCTATTAAATCTTAATTTTTTTCCTAAAATCTGGTTTTTAAAAATTAAAATCACTAATCTAAAATCCACCTCATCTGACAGTTTCTCGAGAAAATAGATCTTGGCCAGTGTGGGCAGGAGATCAGTGATGAGGGGAGTGATCAACCAGAGAACGAGAATACGCTGCCAGACGACCCAGAGAGGCATCAGAGATCAGGAGACCCAATTCTGTACGGGTAAGCTCTAAAAATAATTGATTACGATAGGGAATTACAGCGGATTAGGTACCTTTTCTGGGTTGAGGTGGTAGGGTATTGGAGGGGAGTTGAAGGAGCGAGAATGACATCTGGAATTTGGGATAGAAAAAGACGTAAAACGGGATAAACCTGAGCGGTGAATTTGCGGAATTCAAAGGAGAGCAGTTCGATGAGACGGGCACGGAACTCCGCCCAATATGGGTACAGCCAACGCTCTGAAAATGAAGGATAAATTAGAAAAACTGCTAAAAAAAGCTGATAAATTTAGATAGAAAATCTATTAAAATAACAAATCGAGATTTTTTTACCAATATTTCAACTTTTTAAAGTTTCAAAGTTTTCTAAATGACTTTCCAATGGAAATACAGCTAGATTTTGTCAAAATCGCGTAAAATGGGCAAAAATTTGACCCCCCGATATTGCAAAAGCTCCTAATTTACTTTTCTAGCTTTTAAAAACGATTTGTCGTATTTTTAAACACCAAAAACCCAAAAACTGACCGTCCTCATCATCATGGACCAATTGCTTCAACACGATACAAGTGTGTTCCCCGGTGATATCATTGGCCGATTGGCGCAGATAGACGGGCGCGAAGCGGGCCCGTTTCCAGAATTTCAGCAGTGGCAGTGTCAACCCGAATGAGACGCCTAAAAAGAATCTTGATAAACAAAAAAATAAAATTGAATTCGTACCCAAATAATCGAGCTTCTCGGCCTTTCTCTCCTCCAGTCGAAGCAGAAGTGGGGGCAATTCGGTGCGAGGGCTGATCTGCTCTTCCAGCAGACCCAGGGCGCTTGACTAAAATTTGAAATTAAATTTACTTTATCTTAATCTAAGAAAGAATTAAATTTTTTTATTGACTTAACCTCAAAAATTTAATTAAAAATTTGGATTAAAATAAATCAATCCATTGTATAAAATTTGTTGTTTTTAAAAAGGAATTACCTTGACGGTTCCAATCTCCTCCTTCTTCGCCTTGACTGATTTATCCACCGTGCAGGGGATCTTTCCGAGATAATATTCCTCCAGTTGTTCTAGCGCTTTCGTCCCGTAGCCCATTCCTAAAAAATAAGAGAAAACTGGTTTTAAAATTATAAATTTTATCATAAATAAAGAATTCAATTTGTGTCGAAAATTCATCAAAATGTCGATAATCGAAATGGCAGACACCAAAAATTTCAAAAAAACCCTAAATTTTGAGGCATTTTCCACATATATTTCTGAATAAAAAACGGCATATTTAAATTTTGACATTTTCTTCTTTCATTTCCTTCAAATTATGAAATTTTGGACAGCGTGAGAGTCGGTATTTTGCAAAGTTCTAAATTAATTCAGAATTTTGAGTCAAAAAAGGTGTTTCCAAACAAAATAAACCAATTTAACAAATTCTACCTTGATAATCCGGGTGGACAGCGATCCGAATGATACGGCCACCACACAGAGACGGAAATTGCTTGTCCTAAAAATAATTTATTACAAGAAATAGAAAATTAATGAAAACCTGGAATTGCTGGGACACGGTCCAGGGGATCAAATCGCCAGCGGGGATCTGATGAGTGCTCAGGGATTTGGAGACGGTAGCCCGCGAGATATTGCCCTCGAAACACACTTGCACAACGGCCAGCGCCTAAAAAATTGCTATAAATTCATGGCATAAAGAAAAAAAATCATATTTTCGATAATTAGATTTTTTTTAAATCATGCTTAACCCTACAAAATTGGTATAAATATAAATAACAATAACTAAAAATATAAAATACATAAACAAAAATGAATTTAAAACTAATTTTTTCAGTTTTAAAGTTCTTAAAAACGTTAAAAATGCTAAAAAAGAATAAAATACCTGCGGTACTCCGGTATCGTCTTTCTCAATGGGGGCCATCAATACAAAGAGATGATGGGCAGGGGCATCCGATAACATCTGCAGATCATTTGGAGAATTCTTGTAGTGGGCCGAGACGTAGATTGACATTATCTAAATGACAAAAATTAGAATTTTCAACAGCAACAGTCGATGTACCTGTCCGAGAAACGCCTCAGAAGCCTTGTGGAATGAGAAGAGCGTGTCGCGATTCACGTAGTATCTACAAAAATAGCTTTTTTGGTCAAAAGTAAAGAAAAGTACAATTGACAATTGGCCGGTGGCGGAATGCCACAATTGAGCTTTTGGGCGGCAGCCGGGGCATCGAGGCATAAGACACGGGATAGCCACGCTTCCACATCATCCCCGGGGCGATAGCGGATGCTCTCTTCCAGCTGCAACTCGTGCAGGATACGGCCTGAAAATTCGGTTTTATAAAATTATTGTAGGTAAAAATCGATACCTTTAGCGCCAATATTCTTCTCCTTGTGTAGCGTGGCAAGTCCCTCGGCTTGAGCCCTCAATTGTGTGAGAAGCTTCATCGACAGCGATCTGCCCGTTCCTTCATATCCAGAGATTGTCGACGCCATCATTACCATGTATGGGCCTAAATTAAAAATATCGGTTGAAAAAATAACATAGGTAACTTAAATCTTAAAAAATACAAAGAATAAAAATTACCGGAAATGAGCTTCTTGACTTGTGGAAGAGGGATGGCTGCCGCTTCATCAACTACCAGCAATTCGGCCTGTCCCAGTTTATCGGCTTCTGACGGGTCGATGTACTGGAAAAGAGCCAATAAAACAGTGTAAAATTAAATCAATAAAATCCAAATTTAGCGGGTAAGTTTAAAATCAGTAATTCACATTACAATTAAAATTTCAGCTTAAACAGGGTTTAAGCAAAAATACAAATAGCCATAACTATAAAGAGGCAATAATATAGATTCACATCAACACTACAGCTTACGAATAAAATTCATCCTTTTCTTCGAAAAATTAAATTAAAATTTTACTTTTAAAAATTTCCCACAAAAAATACAATAATTATAATAATAAAAATATTTAACTTAAATTTAAGTTAATCAAATTAAATAAATTACTAAATATTAGTATACCTGTATAACCTGTCGATGTTCCCTCGTAATGACAATGCTGACGAGCGCCTTGTTGAATTGCGGATCTTTTGACTGGGTCGTCTCGAAATCGATGTGTTCCTAAAAACGATTTTTAGGCTTAGAAAAGCTAGTAACCTTCCAATCCATCGCCTCAAATCCCTTGACAATAAACTGGAAGAGGGTCTTCAGATTTTCGGGCGACGGCGATGTGACAAAGATGCTCGTGTACCCGAAAGCCGCCGCCGAAGCCAGGGCTAGGCCTAAAAAAAGAGGAAAATCACGTTAAAAAAAAATAGGTATGAATACCTAAGGCAGCCGATTTTCCCCTTCCACGAGCCGCCGTAATCGAGCAGGTGACGTTGAGGGCCTTATCGGTTAGCACGTCGATTAATCTGAAAAAACAGACATTTAGTTTATTTTTAGAAATTCTGTAATTAAATTGTGGGAAAACCATACTTGAGCAATATTTTGCCCTGATCCAACGTCCTGCATTTGCTGAGAAGGAAGCCGATAGGGCGAGAGTCCTTCATCTGATCCTTCAGCTCCTTCAATTGCGCGTCATTCGGCGTCGTCTCGTTCTAAAAAAGCGTTTTTAGCGTTTCAAACCCCATAGAAAAACCTTTAGCGAAGCGGGAACGGCCTGAATCTTTGAGATGTGGCTGGAGATTGGGAGAACTTGGAGCGAATCGTCAACTACCTAAAAATAAAGACTACTTTCAATGGTTTGAGCCCTAACCAAGCAAGCGGGATTGCTGGAAAGAGAGAGGATGAAGCGCTCGTTGAACCGGGCCGTCACATCCCCGCTGGCCGATGTTCTGTAGCGGTGGTGAACGTCCTAAAATCAGCCATATTTTTAATCGAATAAAAAATTACCATTGAAATGGCGTATAGCTGCCGGAGAGAGTTGACAGAATGGAGCAGCAGAAGCACCAATCCTCCTCCTTCCACTGTTTCGACAGTTCGGGCCAAAAGGTTCGGCGTTAGGGCCTCGAAGTCCTAAAAAAAGGGATATCTCGTCGGTCCTTTTGCATTATCGGGGGATCAACTATTTCCAAGGATGCAATTTTATTTAATTTAAATCGAGGAATTGTTTTTACCCTCAAAAATATCCATTTTGCACCAAATTTCAACTAAAAAATTTTTCCGAAGCCTTCCTAAATTATTTTCCGTTTGAAATATAGTTAAATTTTACTAAAAACCCTATTAAAACACTCATTATGAAGTTAATCGGCCGTTCTGGGTTTATAGGAAATTTTGGTCGCCCGATATTGCGACAGAACCATTTCTTCCTTTAATTTCTACCTGAAGCACGACCATTCCATAGGTATTCCCGAGGATATTCTTCGTCTCCGAATAATAGCAATAGCGAATCTTGGTCGACGAGAGGAACGAATCCAGCGGACTATCCTAAAAAAAACACTTTTAATAGCCAGCCAATTCTTACGGAAAGCATGACATTTCCGACTTGACTCTTCTTCTTCATTTGTCTCATTCTTTTCTGTTTGTTCGAAGAGAAGCCGAGATCCTTCTTGTAACACCACAGCAACGAGGGTCGCTCTCCGATCACGGCCTTTGTCAGCATGTGATGAAGGATTGGGATCTGGAAATTATCTAATTAGTTTCATGTAAATATTGATACCTGTTCTCGTGCTTTATCCCCAACAATCACAAACATTGAGCGATGATGTTTGGCCACTCCATTTTCAATCAATGTCTTGATCCGGGGATCCAGTTTCGTTGGAGCGGGCATTCCACTGAAACAAATGGTGGGTTTTAGGTTTTAGGTTCAACTTTTTAAACCTGTTCTGACTCTCCAAACAAATATAAACCATTTCTACAGCCCTTTCCAGCGTTTTTAGATCAAAAAATTTCGGAAAAATTCTGGCTTTTTGATCAAAAACATATGAAAAAAGCCAAAAAGATCAAAATTTTCAAATTAAAAATTTTTGTATGGATTTCTAGCCATCAAAACGTAGAAAAATACATCATCAGTAAACGGGCGGGTTTTAGCCCTCAGGCAGGTTGATTCCCGGGGCGCGCAATAGCAGTGACAGCCTTTTAGGTCGCGTAATGCAACTGATTACTCGATGTTTTGTTGAAACAAAAACTATTATAAGTGTAAGAAACTATATTGCTTTGATCGCAAGTTTATTTTAACGGCAAGAATAGTATAATAATGCACGACGGCCGATTGTATATATGATCAGGGCAGGGCTTTACAACGGGGCGATAAA